ACCCTCGGGGTTCCTGCGGCCCCAAGCTCAGGCCCACCTTGCATGACAAGACGCCCTAGAGAGAGATAATCATGGGGAGATAAGAGGAGCTGGGGACTTCCCAAAGTCTCTTAAAGCCTCCTTTGATGGCCTTGCTGAGTTTACTTGAAAACAACAGTCCTATTGCATGAACAGAGCCACTGAAACTTCGTGTTAGCCATCAGGCCCAACCCTATTTATTAAAGAATCTGTGCTTCCCCCAATAATTTAAAATATCCACAATAAATCTGCTCGGTATTTCAGTCTATCTCTGAAGGTCCCTTCCTAAAATTTCCTCCTCTGCCTATCATGGTATTGCTTTATTTCTCTTGCATTCGTCTTATCTCAGACAATTATTTCAAAGTCCCTCCACCCCTCCTTTTAGGGTTTTCCTGCAGGGCTCTCTCCTACAAGTTCGCCCTGGGTGACCTGCACGGGGCTTTGTTGTCCCTGCGGATGAAATGAAAATTGTGGGATGCTATCTGTGGTTGTACCTGTTGGCCACTGCACAATGGTCAAGTGCAATCCATTCTGCTCTGTGTGTGCCAAGCTAGGCACCCACAAGGCTCCCCAGATTCTCAGAGTCCCCAACCCAGCTGCACCCTCACCCCGAGTCACAGACCCATTTGTCCGGGAACACAGGCTAGCCACCTCTCCCCAAATATCTCCCAAGGAACCCTGCGTGCAACCTGGATTCGTTCTCTTTCTTCCAAACTCTTTCTCCCTTGTGTCCCCAGCTCTCGGTGCATGTCAGAGGGACCCGAGCACTCATCTCTCTGACCTGCCACATCCTGTCTGACGGATTACACGTCTTCCTCCCCAGCCATGGCAGGAGATGCAGAGCTGACCCTATTACTTTTCCTCTCATTTAGTCTGCCCGGCCCCTGCTGACCATCCCTAAATCTTTCACTCCGCTGCAAAAGCGATCTTGCCAGAGTATCCTGATCATGCCACATGGCTGCTCTGGTTCTTCCTATTGCCAGAGGGCACAGTCTCAGCTCAAAGGACCTCGTGGGGTCATCACTCCTCCTCACCATTTTGCTCCCTGCTCATGCCGCACACGTCAGCGCATGGCATCCCTGTGTTGAGGCCCCCAGATATCCAGACTAACACCTGCAATGCTTCTTAGCACCCGGGTTCCTCTGACTCCAACCAGGGCTGCAGTGTGCCAAGGCAGAGGCCGCCCAGCGTTTGACTCTGCATCTTTACAGCCCAGCTCGGTGGCCAGCCCCCGAGACAGTCCCCGTCCATAAAATCCTAAATGGATTTGAAAATAAGCAGGTGAGCCAGAGCAAGGGACTACAGATGTGAACTGGGCTTTAAGTTCATTACATGTGTAGGTGGTGTAGACACGGGATCAGCACATTCACGGTGCTCAAGTCATATCTGCAAAGGGGCTGGGGACACGAGAAGTATCTGGAAGAAGGGGAGAATGGGACAAGATGATGGGAAGAATGGTGCGCAGTGGCTGGAGCAGGGTGCAAGGCCTCGGCCCAGAGTCGCAGAGCAGGAGAGGCCCCAGGGCTGGAACAGGAAGGTGGATGTGGCTGGCCCGGCCAGGAGGAGATGCAGACTCATGTGCCCCCAGAGGTCGGGGGGTCACATAGATGAGGAGAGCAAGCAGTTGCTCTGATGGGTCAGAAAGGGGGTCAGAGGGGGTCAGAGCCAAAAATATAAGAAGCAGCCCGGCAGCCAGACAAACCTGGTCTAAGGAAGCGGTCCAGAAGAAAGTCAGAAAGACAGCTGGGCTTCCCATTCCCTTAGGCAAAGGAATAAAGTCCTTAAATATGCTGTTTGGGGCGGGCAGGGTCCCTCCCAGCTTGACTATGGCTTTGCCTTCAGAAAGGCATTTCCATCTTAAGGGCAGGGCGTCCCCTCCTCCAGGAAGCCTCCTCTTGATCTCTCAGGGTCTCTCAGAACAGATTTTTTTTTTAAGATTTTATTTATTTATTCACGAGAAACAGAGAAGCAGACATAAGCAGAGGGAGAAGCAGGTTCCCTGCGGGGAGCCTGAGGTCCAGGACCCCGGGGTCACTCCCTGAGCCGAAGGCAGACACTCACCCACTGAGCCCCCCAGGCGTCCCTGCAACACACTCTTAAAACACCCTGGATTTCTCCTTCACAGCCCTGTTCACAAGAATAATCAAATACATATTCCTTTAAAATCTGCTTCCATTGTTAAGAAGATAAGCTCTTTGAAGAGCTTCTGTTTAGTATTATCACCGGCATCCAACAATCTGCCTGGGACTCTGGTGCGCCCGGTAAGTGTTTGTTTGTTGAACAAGTCAATCGATCCAAAGGATGAGGATGCATCACACAGTTAGTGAATAAAAGTGGCAGGCAAGACCAAGGAGTCGGGATGACAGCGAGCCCATCAGGGAAGGTGGGGAAGGGTAGGGAGGGCCAGTCCTACCAGGGATAACAGAGTCCAGGCAGGAGCCATGAGCTCGGGGGGGCCCACCTGCCTTACCACGCAGCCTGTAAACTCCTGAACTAAGATCCTCCTACATGCTTGAAAAAGAATCTAAAGAAGAAGAAAGTTATTTTAAGTTCACATTCCTGGGGCACCTGGGGGGCTCAGTCGGTTAAGCATCTGCCTTTGGCTCAGGTCATGATCTCAGGGCCCTGGGACTGAGCCCTGCATTGGGCTCCCTGCTCAGCGGAGAGTCTGCTTCTCCCTCTCCCTCTGCTCACTCCCCTTGCTTTTGCTCATACTCTCTCTCTTTCTCACATAAATATTTTTTTTAAAGAAGAAATTCACATTCCAGTGTCCACAAATAAAGTTTTATTAGAACACAGCTGTACTCGTGGGTTTCCTTATGTCTACGACTGCTTTCACACAACAAAGACACAGCTGAGAAGCAGTTGACAGAGATTACAGGAGCTTCAAGGACAAAAAAAGCGTACTACCTGGCCCTTGGCAGAAAAAAAGTTTGCCAGCCTGTGACCTAGAGCCTCTTGGGATTGCTATATCCCCAGACCCTGCCCCCAGGCACCTGCTAGAGTCTGGACCTCAGAAAAAACAGCTGCCAGATAATGTCTGTTGATATAAAACGGGGCTTTAATATCCCCTGAATGAAGAGGGAAGAGTTGAATTTTGCAACAGACTATTTCATGGCCGTGACACAACATGAGTTAGGCTAGCAGGTACACAATATGTTGTTCAAGCAATTTCTAGAACACAGGTTGTTTTTCCAACTTATTAAAAAGAATAATCATGCATATGCCTAGAAGGCGAGAGACTATGAATATCTGGGAGGATATGCATGATAAATAGCTTTAGGGAATGGAAGCGGGGATTTTTACTTTTTTTTTTTTTTTTTTTTTTTTTTACCAAGGATATACTACTTTCTAATTAAAAGGGGGGGAAAAAAAGAAGAAGAAGATGGGGCACCTGGGTGGCTCTGGTTGAGTGTCTGCCTTCGGCTTAGGTCGTGATCCCAGGGTCCTGGGATGGAGTCCTGTACTGGGCTCCCTGCATGGAGCCTGCTTCTCCCTCTGCCTGTGTCTCTGCCTCTCTCTCTGTGTCTCTCATGAATAAATAAAATGTTTTAAAAAATTAATTAAAAGAAAAAAAGATGAACAAAACTGCAGATTTTAGAAAGCCTCTTCTACCACTAACCCACCTGCAGCCTCTCTGCAACAGAGTGGCTAATTCAGGATGAGAATGGGCCCAGAGCCTTGCTGATCTCAGGATCATATGGTCCAATTTCTGCATTTCACAGATGGGAGCTGTGCACACACACTTTCCTCTGAAACTTCAAAGTCCAGTAACAGTGCAAAGCGACTCGTGTTTGTTTTGAGGAAGTTTAAGATTAGAATGGTCAGAAATTGTTCTACTTCCCTTTTCCTAGAAACTCTAGCTACCTCTTCAGCTGGGACATGCCCTGACGCCCACGGAAGGCTGGTTGCCAGGGGACGTGAACAAACCAGGCCCCCGACCCCAGTTCCCGGCCCCCGAGTAGCAGGTGCCAGCTGCCTTCTCTGCTGTTCCCTCTAAAGAGCAGCTGGCTTTCTGGTTACCAGGACACCTCTGAGCACAGGCCTGTCACCAGCAGTCATACTAATGGCCCCACTGGGTAGGAAGAGGTGACCGTTAAGGCAGGTGGGGTACACACAAGAGAAATGAAGGGCGAAGACTGAGCCAACATGTGGCTATGGATTATATCTCACATCCTGCCTTGGCACACACATCTGCGATTCCCCGCTCCAACCCCCTCCCCCCACCCCAAATCGAACCTTCTGTGTTTCCATCCTCCAGAGAGGCACAGAGGTCAACAGACAGAGAGCCCTGAGCTGCATTTGCTCTGCCCTGCCCAAGACCGCCTTGTTGGAGAACCTGCCACTCCTCCTCCTATAAACTTTCTCCAGCCTTCTTGCAGCCCACTCTGCAGCGAGCCCGCATGCTGAGGTCCTGGAGCCACTCGGGAAGGTTCTGGAAGCCCACAATCACTGGGCACAAGGAGCTGTGGTTTTAACTCCTCTCAGAAAGGCACTTGGGACCCATGTTACCTACTAGAATACATAATGCATAACTAGCCCCAGCATTTCCCAGAGAACATTCCAGGAAATGCCAACCGGTGAGAGTACGCGATGCTGCGGTGAAATCAGGGAAATCCCTCGCCTCATCAGGACATGCCATATTCCAAGATAATCATGCAGTAGCTGAACCTGGTTAACATGACATCAACCAGCGGTTGACCAGAGAACCTTCTGAGATCCCAGGTCGGAAAGCATCCCTGGAGCATGAGGTGGGGCTCAACAGAGATGCCCAAGTTTCCAGGGTTAACCCCCGACCCTCAAGGGCAGCCTTCTCGATCTGGCGCAGGTCCCCACCACCTGGCACCATGGAGAAACCCTTCGTCTGCCGCAGCCTCTTTAGGCAGGTTTCCGAAGAAACGGTGTTAACCACTGGGAGATGCAAAAGGGAGACAGAAATCCAGGGGGAGCAGGTGCACGTTGCTCCCCAGAGCGGGACTCACCATTGGTGGTCGTGTTGACATAGTAACGCCGGCCCTGGGGAGACAAGTAGCTCTGCCACCCAGGTGGAAGGATGACGATCTGGCTTTCCTCTCCCGGCGGAGGGGGAACCATTCCAGGCTTCTGTGGAAGAGGAAAGGAGAGGTCACACAGGTTGGGCATTTGTACAACTGGTTTTCAGCCAGTTTTTGACCAACCAAGTCACAGGCGGCTGAAGTCACCCTGAAAGAGTTGATGCTGGGAGGGGTGGGAGCCCTGAGGGCGGTCACAGGCCACACATGTGTGATCCAGGGGCTTGACCAAGCATGAGGTGAGAGGAGCTCTTGATGCTTCAGAGCCAGTGCAGAAGGGACAGCTTGTCATAAAGGACAAAGGGAGGTGACAGCCAGTTAGCAGAGCTGGACTCTCTCCGAGGGGTCCCCTGGACAAGCTCTCGCCGGACGGCTCTGCAGGCTGCAGGGCCCTCATATGCTGTGCACCCCCCTTCCCATGGGATCCAAAGCCTGAACCTCCAGGACCACCAAGTACAGCCTGCTGCGCAAACCTACCAGAAGGAATTAATGCACGTCTCAGCAGAGCAAGATGTAAAGCGTCCTATAACAACGCTGAGAATGGACCAAGAACTAGGCTGGGCTTATCTGGTCCAGTGTCCAAATTGCCCCCTCGAGGGATCTGGGCACAACTGGGACCCACAGGCCAAACCACAGGTCCCTCCATGTGCCCTCACGGATGGCTTGATCCTCTAACAGGGAGGAAGCAGGTGTAACCCTCAGAGTTACAAGAGAGGTGACTTCTGGCAGTGGGATTAAGGGCCACTTTTCTCCTCTCCCGATTACGTTATCCCTTGCATCTAAATTTCCCTCAAACAACAAAAATAAGTGGTGAGCTAAAGAACATTTAAAAATAAGGAAAGAGGGTCCAAATTAGCCCACACAGTGGCTGTGCCTTCCGAAGATAGCAAGTGGATTTAACCACACAAGGAGAGGGGCTGTGAATTTCTCCGCAAAGCAGGGCTCTGTGTGGAGGTATTAAAGGGGGGGCGCTCAGTGGTTGAGCATCTGCCTTTGGCTTAGGGAGTGATCCCAGGGCCTTGGGATGGAGCCCGGCAGGGAGCCTACTTCTCCCTCTGCCTGTGTCTCTGCCTCTTTCTCTCTCTCTCTCTCTCTCTCTCTCTGTCTCACATGAATAAATAAATAAAATCTTTTCTTAAAAAAAAAAAAAAAAAACCTAATCAGCACTGAAATGTCCTCGGCATCCCTCCGAGGTAGTTCTGGTCTCTGATGGTGGCTACTTAGGAAAGCCAGCTAAGGAATTAAAAGCAAGCAAGAGAGATGCACAGCCCCTGCCTGTCCTGCTCTCATATTGTCTGAAGGCTGCAAAACCAGGAACTTCTGCTCCTTGGCACCCTGCACGCCCTCAGCAGGGATCGGTTCCATCCTAGATGCTCCTGGGACCCTGAGTGGCCACAGCCTTCCTGGAGCCACCGTGGTTAACGGCTGTTCACCCACAGTGCCTCTCTGGTTCAGCATGGAAGGCCGTCTTTGAACTACCGGGCGCCAGACGGCAGCCAGGAGGTCTTCTCACCAACAGAGCATGTCCACTGACTCCAAACACACCTGAGCACGTCCACCTGGGCCTCCAGACACCTGCTCTGGCCTCTTCCGGATTGGAAGGTGGTTGAAACACACACACCAGAGAGTCTCACAATGAGGGAAGTGTGCTTGTGGATAAATATCCCACAGGCAGGAGGTGTGCACCTTGGCTGAGTGGGGCTGGGGGTCACAGAACAATAAATAGGGAGGTTAGGAGGCTTAACCTAAGAGAGAAAAATTCTAGAACCATAGGGTACGAAGCCAGGCTGCTTCAGCTGGAGTCTGGGGTCTTAGAGCATCTGAGGTGGGAAGACCATGCTGGTGCTTCTCTGCGTAGCCTGGGTGGGGGGAATGGGAAATTGTTAAAGGGTATATTAGGCAAGGGCCAGAGGGGGGTGCCTGGTTGAGCATCTGCCTTCAGCTCAGGTCATGATCCTGGGGTCCTGGGACTGAGTCTCAAACTGGGCTCCCTTCAGGGAGCCTGCTTCTTCCTCTGTCTGTGTCTTTGCTTCTCTCTCTCTGTGTCTCTCATGAGTAAATAAATAAAATCTTTAAAAAAAAAAAAAGAGCAAGGGCCAGAGGGTGACATGGCCAGAAATAGGGGACAGAGGAGAGAGGGACCCAGATGCACAGTGGAAGCAGCTCAGGCCTGGGCCACAATCCTGACTCAGCCCCCAAGCAGCCACATGATGAGGAAGTGACTCAGCCAGCTGCGTTTCTCTACGTGTCTACACAGGAGCCCTGTTGTGGAAGGCACCCAGGAAAGTGCCCATTACCCAGAAAGCTCTGTGACAGAGGGGGTCCCAGCAGGAGGAGGTGTGTTCAAGTGCCCAGCCAGACCAGGCTTCGCACAGCCCCTGCCCCCTGAGAGGTGAAGTTCAGGGGCCCAGACCTCAGCCAGTGCCTGTAATGTCTGGAATGTCACCAGAAATAGTCACTTCTCCCCAGACCTCTGTTTCCAAGACGACACTAGACATGCAGCAGCCAAGCATCCACCTGCTGGGGAGACCAATGTGTTAAGAGGTGGCCAATGTGACCTGCTGAGAAGGCCAGGTGGGTGGCCAGGAGACCGCTCCTAAGCGGGGCTGGTTGAGCAAGTGGAATGGATTTTGGACCCTTCATACCCCACCTGTGAAACAGCAGGATTGACACCTGTCCTGTCTCCATGTCTGCACAGTGCCCTTCTCTTGAGAATGACTCTAGGGGGTTCATGTAACTCTGTGGGGTCAGATCAAGCCCTGGCGTCCACCGGTGGACTCCGATGACCAAGAAGGTACCATGATCGCCCGCCCTGAGGTCTTGCCCACCCAGGAAATGCTGGACCCTCTGTGACCAAACCCTATGGAAGGTGCCTGTGTGGGAGCCAGGAAGGCCAAGTGGTGCTGGAAGAGGAAGGGGGGAGGGCACCAGGGCCAGCTGGGCCTACTTACCAGTTTGGCCAATGCAGCAAAGGCCACCCCACATCCCCCTCTAGCACGACCACGGCTCCTGACCCTGCTCAGCCCTCCAGCCCCCAAGGCTGCCACAGTCCCCCTGCCTTTGGTCTCTCCCAGAAAGAAGACCCCTCCCCCCTCCCAGAGGGGGGGACCATCAGGACTACAAAGACATGCAAACAAGTGGGTATGCACCCAAGAGACCTGGAAACGGTGCTCAAACACCTGTAAATCCACATTCACAAGCAGCATCATCCACGATGGCCAAAAGGCGGGCAGGACCTCAAGGTCCATCATCTGATGAGCAAGTCAATGGAAAGGGGTGCATCGGGACCAAGAAGCAGAATGAGGTACTGCTACATGCCACAATGTGGATGAACCCTGGAGCCATGCTTAGTGCCATAAGCCAGAGACACAAAAGGCCACGTACCACATGACTCCGTTTACATAAAATGCCCAGAATAGGGGTATCTGGGGGGCTTAGTGGCTTAGGCATCTGCCTTCAGCTCAGGTCATGATCTCGGGGTCCTGGGATCGAGTCCCGCGTTGGGATCCCTGCTCAGTGAGGAGTCTGCTTCTCCCTCTGCGCTCTACCGCTCCCCCTGCTCATGCTTGCTCTCTTGTTCACTCTCAATCTCTCAATGTCTCTCACAAATAAATAAATCAAATCTTAAATGAAAAAAAAAAAAAAAGAAAGAAACACCCAGAATAGAGAAATCCACGGAAACCAAAGAGATTAGTGGTTGCCAGGGGCTGGGGGTGGGAGGGGAGGGTGGACACAGGGTTTCCTCTTTGGGGTGATTCGAATGTCCTGGAAGGAGACAGTGGTGACAGTTGCAGAGTACTATGGATGTATAAATACCACTCAGGATAAATGTTATGTAAGGTGTGTCTTGTAATTAAAAATTAAAAAAAATTTTTTAGTTTAGTTTTTAAGCTATGGAGGGAAAAAAGCTGGAGTCCCACCTGCAGGCCCTCATCTGAAAGGCCCAATGCACCCACATGACCTCATGGCTCATGGCCATGGAGGGATGGGCCTCCTGGGAGAGCGGCCCCTAGCCTTCCTTCCCTAGTCCTGTGACTTCTCCCCTTCCATTCCATCAGCAGTTTGCCCTGGGAATGGGAAGTAGATGTTGAAGGGACACAGGCCCAGAGACTGGGGTCCTAACTACAATGAACAAGATGGGAGGGGGTGGGAGCAAGGGTGGAGGCTGGATGGCCATTTCCTCCAACTCATAGTCTCAACCTGATGCATATCATGGCTTTGTGGGAATCATAAAATGCTCTTTCTCCAGATGGGCCCTCGCCCTGAGTGCAAGGCTGGATCTCAGTCTCCCCGTGGGTTCCCTTGTTCAGTCAACAACCTGTTCAACTGTTTACGGAGACCCATGCTCTGAGAATGTGAAGAAAATTGTGGATCTCCTGCATGACCCCCCCCAAAGGGAGTCCGTGGTGCACATACACCCTCACCCTGTTTCCTATAAAGTATCAGCAGGCTTCTAGATGACTCAGAGCCCTCATCTAGCTGGTAATCAAGAAACATACGAGCTCAGATCCCACTTGAGTCCATCGATAATGACTTTTATTGTGCACCAAACGTTTACAGCGCTCCAAGGACCGGGCTGGGTGCTCTACACACTCATCTCTAGTTTTTACAGTTTAATCTGCCACTTTCCCACCTCGAAATAAGGAATCTGAGACTTGAGAGAATTTAATAACTCGACCAACGCCGCACAACTAAACAAATGATCAAACCAAACCTTGGCCCTAGAGACTTCCATCTGGTTACCTACAGGGAGGCTTCCCTGCTGTCCGGCTAGCCAGGGGCAGCTCCACTTCTTTCCCGGACCACCTGACACCCAGCTACCACCAAGGAGGGTGACAACTCAGGCCTGCTCCTGCCTGTCTCACAGACTCCAAAAGAGCATATGCCTTCCCCGGAGAGGAGCAGAAATACCACCACCCACACCCGAGCAGTCACGTTCCCGGCTGCAGGCTAACTTCCTTGTCTCCTGACTTAAAACAGCACAGCCAAAGAAATTTTCCTCTTAAGGATGGGCTACTGGTCCTCCCCGGGGAAGAAGAAAAACAACAGGCA